GGCTTCGTCAGTGCCAAATCCATTAGCAATCAGATAAGGACTATTGGCCAGTTATGTAGTAAACATATGAGGGTCAGTGTGTATAGTGCAGTGAGCAGAATAGGTTGTCTATTACAGTGGTCCCTCGGTTAACGAGCACAATTCGTTCCAGCAGGTTGCTCGTTAACCGAAACCATTGTTTCAATGGGTTTTTGGGTAATTGGTTCCAGTTCACCGAAAATTGCCTAAATTCAACAAAAAAGGTAGAAAAGTACACTTACTATGAGGTGTGTATGTAGAAGGCTCCTGGATGATGATGATAATGGGAATTAGAATGGGGGTGGAGGAGAAGGGAGAAGAGAAGGCATTGGGGTGGAAGAGAAGGCATTGGGGTGGAAGAGAAGTCACCCCATGGCACCTTTTCACCCATAAAATTTTAGTTCTCTTGGTGTAATTCAAGAATATTTTCTTTAAATCAACACTGCACTGCATTATATATTGTCAATATGTAAAATAAATTTCAAAATGACCAATAATTTGCTTGGAAACACATAAAAAAGCATTTAGTTGAAGAGAGTCTCAAGCAAGATGTTACCTCCACTGAAAACAGAGACTAACGCCTGTCTGGTGTGTTAACAGGCTGGATGGCACGCCAGAAACTAGTTTCTTTACCTTCAATTATGTTCAATAATTGTTAAAATGACTAAAAAAGTTAATATAAAACTTTTAAAATTATTGAATAGTATAAACTTCTTGATATTTACTAAAATAGTAATGAATTTAAGCCCTAAAACAGATTACTGTATTGGCGGACTAATACTACAGCTGGTGGACCGCCAAATGCAAGCGAAAACATGTTGAAGTCGGCTCGTAAAAAACTCGTTAATCGAGGGATTGCTCGTTAACCGAAGTTAAGAATCTTATGGAAGGTAAATCGTTAACCGAAATCTCGTTAACCGAGGCGCTCGTTAACCGAGGGATCACTGTACTTTGTCCAGAGACGACTTCTAACTAAGCCAACATATAACCAAACCCACCCGGGGTAATAATATACGAGATTTAGTTCTGTCAAACAGAGAAAACCTCATAAGTAATGTCGAGGTAGGGAACGAACTTGCTAACAGCGATCACAAAGAAATTAGATTCCAGTTAGAATTTCAGGGCAGCGGTAAGGAAAATTCCAAAAAAGTTCCAGATTTCAGAAAGGCAAACTTTGATAGTTTGAAGAGGCAGCTGAGAGAAGGGGTATCACACTTGGGGGTGAATTACAAGACCTCACACAATGTACCCACAGAAGGCGACCTCACCTTACCTGGAGACCTGACGGTTGAGGATGACCTGATAACGAGATCTGAGGTTGACGAGTTCCACAACAATTTAAATAGTGAGTTACCGTATATACTCGTCTATAACCCCCCCTCGTTTATAGGTCGACCCTGATTTTTTGACCAAGAAATCGTTAATTTACGATATTCCTCATTTATAGTTCGACCCACGTTTTTGAGGGTAATGGAACAACAAAGCCTTCACTAAAAACGCTCTACGTCCTATAAACTGAGGCTCGCCGTGCATGAAACACGAGTGCCGAAGGCAAATTGTTTACCATTTATTATTACGACACTTTACACTGAAACACGGGTAGTTTCAACAAAAATATTGTATATTTTCATTCAAGTATATATTCAAGTCAATTAGGAGGGAATATTATTGTAATACAACAGGTTTTTAACTAAACCATTCGAAAAGCGATTGCAGTAACATCTTTTGAACGAAAGAAAGCGAAAGTCATTGTTTTCGTCACGATTTTATCCCACTTTCCACTGTAATACATACGTAATTTCAGCAAAAATATTACATTTCCGTGAATGTATTATATCAAGCACAGTATGAATAAAATATCATTGTAATATAACAGAATTTTAACCGAAAACTATTAAAAATACGAGTAACATCTCAAGAACAGAAGCTTAGGTAAAGTCTTTTGTTTTTGTCATGTATTTTATCCTATTTTACATTGAAATACATCACGTTTCAGCAAAACTACTATTTATTTCCGAGAATATAATCATTCAGGCGCAGTTTAGGTAAAATATACGTGTGACATAATAGTTTTTTAACTGAAAACGATTCGAAAAACACGTGTACCGTCTATCTGATACAGCTGGTGGTGCGTCATGCGTCGCTGTAAACAATAGGAGGTTGAAGTAGATTACCGGGTATTATATTAAGTGCAAAATATCGAAAAGGTTTTTATTACCGGTATTTTTTGTAGATCAATGAGAACTGTGATACCGTATATGATATGATAAGTTAGCCTGATCTAAGAACTTCAACATAGACTACTGAAAGCACGTTGTAAGGTAATTTAGCCTATTGTAAGTTGGTGAGCTTCATTTACTGAAGGAACTGCACAACTTTTCATTACTAATTGGTACATATTTTACATTTCCATTGTTTACTGGCAGTAAATGGTAAATAGTTTTCATGTCTGAAGCTAAAAGTTGCTCCTCGCCCTTCCCATCATGCACGGGTTCAACCTAACAAAACTATTACGCATGTATAGAACGACCCCCAATTTTTTGCCTAAAAATTTGGTCTTAAACCCTCGAACTATACACGAGTATATACGGTACTTAATGCACAAAGGCAGAACATACCATACAGAAAATTCAGATCAAACAACAATGACCCTAAATGGTTAGATAATTATTTAAAGAATATTATTGGACAAAGGAGAGCTATAGGTAGGAGAATAAATCGTGGTAAAGTCTACCTCAGAGATTATTATTAATAGGCATTGGCCGGTAGGGTTAAAACCGAGATAAGAAAAGCAAAGAGGAATAATGAACTGAAGATAGCAAGGGGGGCAAAATCAAACCCCCAAGGGATTCTATCAAATGTATGAACTAAAACACGAGAGAAGATTGGACCAATACAGTCAGATACCGAACTAACTGATAACGATGGAGAAATGAGCAATAATCTGAATAAATATTTTTCAACAGTTTTCATCACCGAACATTTAAACATGATACCCGAGGCACCGACTCTATACAGAGATAGTGAAGAAAATAAATTAAGAAAGATAGTAGTGACTAGTAACGATGTTAGTAAGCAAATAGACAAACTAAAGCCTAATAAGTCACCAGGTCCCAATGAGATATTTACCAGAGTATTAAAGAAATGTAAGGAAGAGCTTAGTATGTCCTTAGCAAAGTTGTTTAACATGTCCTTAAAAACAGGTGTAGGACCAGAATCTTGGAGGATCGCGAATGTAATACCGATTTTCAAGAAGGGAGATAGATCACTATCCTCAACTACCGTCCAATCAGCCTAACATCAATTGTAGGCAAATTACTGGAAGCAATCATTTTAAACTCTTTTTGAAATCACCTGGAGAAGCACAAGTTGATCAATGATTCCCAACATGGCTTCACAAGCGGGCATTCATGTCTAATTAATCTATTAACATTTTTTCATGTTTTCGAAGCAGTGGACGAGGGACACAATTATGATGTGGTATATCACAACTTTAGCAAAGCCTTCGACAGAGTCCCCCCACTAAAGACTAATAAGAAAAGTGGAGGCTCATGGCATTAAAGGAGATATTCTAAAATAGATTAGGGCATGATTACAGGACAGGAAACAGCGAGTGAGCATTAACGGCACTAAATCCGATTGGAGCAACGTCACTAGTGGAGTTCCCCAAGGATTGGTACTTGGACCATTATTATTTATTATATCCATAAATGACATTGATATCAGCATAGACAGCAACATAAGTAAATTTGTTAATGACACTAAAATAGGGCGTGTAATTAAATCTGACGAAGACTCCGCAAAACTACAGGAAGATCTAAAAAAAATTTCGAATGGTCAGTATAGGAGATGCAAACAGGGAAACCAGATACCAGATGAACAACGATGTTATTGAGAAATCCGACTGCAAGAAAGATTTAGGGGTAATGATAAGCAGGAATCTTAAGCCAAGTAAACAATGTGTATTTGCTCAAAACAAGGCTAATCAAGAACTTGGGTTCATACAAAGGAGTGTTGGTTACAAGACTAGCGAGGTCATCTTAAAACTATATCTTGCGCTTGTGAGACCTCACTTGGATTACGCAGTTCAATTCTGGTCACCGTACTAAAGAATGGATATAAAATCCTTGGAAAGAATTCAGGGGAGAATGACAAGACTAATCCCGGGCATTAGGAACCTTGAGTACAGAGACAGGTTAAAGCACCTTAATTTGCACTCCCTCGAGAGACGTAGAGCGAGGGGCGATATGATAAGAGGTGTATAAATGGAAGTCAGGGCTGAACAAAGGGGACATTACAAAGGTATTCAAACTATCCAACCAGGAGCTAACTCGAAACAATGGTTTTAAATTAGACAAATTTAGATTTAGGCGCGAAAGAGGTAAACATTGGTTTGGAAATAGAGTAGTGGAACAAGTTACCAAATATCATCATTAACTCGAATACGCTGGATAGTTTCAAACATAGGTTGGATGGATATATGAGCAATAGGGATTGGATGTCAATTGGACTGCAGTTTCATCCATTTTTGTGTTCTTATTATCAAGCAACTGTGCATCAGTGACCTAATTCAAACATACTGTGATAGTCTGTGGAAACCAAAGAGTTCAGTGTACGGTGATAACACAACCCTAATTGTCTGCCATTGTACCCACACATTTTTATACCAACAGTCCAATCACAGTGAGTGTTGAACAATTATGTTATTGTATTCAGAATTAAGCCAACTTGGAAGGTTAATCATGTGATTGTTATTGTCACTAGATGTGTGTGTTTGGTTCTTACAACTGATAGTGGGACATGTATTTCCAGGTATGACCATATAAACATTATCGTGTACTATTGGACGATACATTCACACTTGAAGCATAATACAAGCATCAGTAGATTACAAGTCGACATAAAACTTAAATGCAAGTTACGTGCAGTTTCTCGCAAAAAGACACAAACATCATCAATTTGTTACATAAGAAAACACTCACTGGTCCTTCATGCTCCCTGAGGTCAGCTATTAGAGTCTGTGAGGACCCCTTCACCTCAAAGATCTTGATGGAGCGATCTGAGGAACATGTTGCCAGTCTTGTACCAAAGTAGTCCATCTGTGCATCATGGATCATGTCATCATGACCAGTCTCAACGTTACTGATCACCGACACCTGAAAAATATTAAATTTTCATGTTTTGGCTCCTGTGCAGTATTATGCAAAACAGTTCTGTAAAATATAGAAAATAGGGTAATTATTGACAACTGATCCGCCAGCGATTAGGATAGTAAACGATTATAAAAACATCACATTTTCACTGTTTTATAGAGGACACTGTTGTAGTTTGTGCAAGTTTTTTTAAACCCAACCTAACTTAACCTTAACATAAAATCGTTTTATAGAGGAGAGTGTCATAGTTTTTGCAGATGTTCTTTTTTAACCTAACCCAATCCTAAACTTAACATAAAACCGCAGCATTACCGCCGAGAAGACAAAGTAGTGAGCACTTTAGGTGCCTAAATATCTACCCAACGATGCATTTGCACATGATCATCAAATCAGTACTCACTTTTGAAAATACAGTAAAGAATAAACACCAAAACAAAAAATGCACTGGCAGGTCAGTTGTCAATATTAACTGAAAATAGGGTAAAATTTTTGTTTCGTACAACCATGGAATCTGGTATTATTAACACATGCAATAGATATATCTCATCATTCTGACTAACTTTCATTCCATACACTTCCGTCACAAGTGTACAATAATGAACCTAATAGAACCTGACTTAACCAACCAACCAACCAATGATGCCTACCTAACTTCTTAGCCATGGGGGCTAACCCTCTACAATATTAAAGAGAAAATACTAATTTTGATTTCTAGTACCAATGAAAACAACTTTGTTGAAGCATCATGGAGTAATTATACATTTTTTGTGGACGTGAGCGTCTGATCGGATCGAGTGGGTAGGTTGCAAACTTACTGAGCAGAAAACAATAAATCAGTGGTCATTGGCTATAAAAAAGAGCAGGTGTACAGTCATTGGTTAATAGGTCACTGTCATATCATACCACGACCCCCTCCCTTACAAAGAGCATGCCTGGTGGAGGGACCAAGATACAAACACACACAAATCTTGCAAAAGTGGTGGTGACAGGTGCTCCCATACATTATAATAACAGGAATAAAATATACATCCAATATCTCGGTTTTTTTACATTTACAAAGTGTCAGAAGAAAAGAGGGTATTACAGGTTGTACCTCTCTAGTCCGGCAACCTCGGGACCTGACCGGGGCCGGACCATGGAAATTCACCCTTTTCCTGGATAGATAGTGACTTGTGCTTATGCTTAGAAGCACTAGCACCACGTTCTCTGCATCATGGTCTCTTTAAAAACATATTGAAGGGTTAAATGTCATATAGTAGCTTCTCAAATTTCGCGAGTTTTTAATTCAACGTATTTTATTGGAACACACACAAAAATAAATAAAAATTTTGACGGCGGAAACTTGAATTTCGACGGGTTTGAACGGCCCGCCAACGTGCAGACGACGTGCATAATCGTGTAAACAGCGTCATTTCTCTTATGTACAAAAGATTCATTATTGTTTATTACTGAATGTCTTTTTTATTGAATTAATGTTTATGTGTGCAAAATGAGCAATACAATTCATTAATAATACGTAGAATATTAACACACACGAGGAAATGACACAGCGTTGTTTTCGTTGATTACAAAACCAGTGACTGACTGGTTCTACATAAAAAAACTGAAGAAAACAAGACCTTGGTTGTAGCTGTAGTAAAATTAATATGGTTGTTTTAAGTAATGTTATTTAATGTTAATAAATGGAACAATAGAAGTAGCTAACGATAATGGTAAAGAAAAAAGAGAGATCGCGTATGTAAGTGCGCACACGTGAAAACATATCGTCATTACTTTACATAAGAATATGAAAGCAACACTTATTTATTGTTCATATATATTTGAATTAATGTTTCTGAATTTGTTTTTATTGAATTAATGTTTGTGTGTGCAAAATTAACAATACAATCTATTAATAATACGTGGAATATGAAAACACACGATGAGACGAGACGGCTGCCAGCTGGTTCTACATATAAAACTGAAGAAAATAAGACCCTGATTGTAGCTGTAGTAAAATTAATGTAAAAAAATTAATATGGTTGTTTGAAGTACCTGTAACGTTATTTAATGTTAATAAATGGAACAATATAAGTAGCTAACCATTAATGGTAAAAAAAAAAAGTGAGTGCGCGTATGTAAGTGCGCACATGTGAAAACATATCGTCATTACTCTACATAAGAATATGAAAGCAACACTTATTTACTGCTCATATATATTGAAGGGTTAAATGTTGTACTCTGTATAGACATCAGAGAGAGCAGCCGAACTGCCGGATGTAAACAAACCTTAATTTCCCGTGGCTTTGTTGTTGTTTTTCTTTATGGGGATTAGCCCACCCGGGCATAGGTCACTGACCCACATTGGGGCCTGAGGGGCAAAAATTTAATACTCCTGTAATAATAATAATAATTCAGATAAAAAAAAAAAAAAAAAACTGCCTATCTACCTATTGGACAAACTAAAATCGTTCCGGACCATGGGAGTTTCCGGACCACAGAATGCCGGACTAGAGAGGTACAACCTGTATTACAGTTTCAGCCAGAACTCAAGAGCAATTTTGTGTTTACCATAAGTTACATCTTCTCAATAAGAACAACTTTTTCTAATACTACTTGTGTCACAAATATATACTAACTGAGAAAGTAATGTAAATCTCCAGTCACAGTAAGTTGTCTGTTTGTTTACAGCTGACCCGTTCGTTCTGAGCCATACTGTAGTGTACTCTCACATCCACAAAAAAATTTAAATTGCACCATGGTGCGTCAACAAAGTTGCTTTCAGTGGTACCAGATATCAAAATAATTACTTTGTTTAATACTGCAGGAATGGCTAGGAAGTTAGGTTAGGTAGGTTTATTTGGTTGGTTAAGTCAGGTTGCAGGAGGGGGGGGGAGGGGGTTAAGTCAGGTTGCAGGAGGGGGGGGAGGGGGTTAATTCCAAAACAACTCATTTCCAAAAGGAAATGAAGGTCAAATTCGAATGAATCACACCAAATACCATGGGAAAAACAAAAAATTGTGGTCGAACAGTAGTTGTGGCTGAAACTGCAAATTTACCAGTCATAGAATAGTTAGATCTATAGACTGCAAATGCCAAAATCCCCGAATGAGATGGTTGTACATAACTAAAATAATAATGAAAATAGATAATGTATATATAGTGAAGAAAAGACCAGTGTGAACTTACAAGAAACACAGTAACTGACTAATGATCATTAGGTTAGGTTACAGCCGTCCACGTCATAAAATTGATAGTACTGTACTGTACTGTACAGTACTGTACTTTACTCCCCCGTGTACTTTTGTCGTTTTCTCAAGGTAAGAAAGTTATCTATGGAGGAATTTCCTCAATATGGTGCCAAGGAAATGCTGTGGTTATTAAGTATTGCAGTTTTCTTCTAGAGAGATTTTTCGTTAGTATGTTAGGAGGCTGGATAACCTAACCTTGTCCTTAAATATTACCAAGAGGAAAAAATGTCATCCCATGACTCGTGGCAAAAGATTATTGTTACTGATTATCAGAAACCTGAACTATGAAAGTCCAAATGTGCTTAATGACCACCAGGACACCAAGCAGTCAGGTAATCACATCTAGTTATGACAACGACCATTATCGTCTTCTCCCTATACTGACTTCATTTTGAACTAAGTAAACATTAGATTACCTAAATCTTATTTTGCCATATCCTAAACCTTATATAATTTATAAGTAAGTTATCAGTCGAGGTCGTAGGTCAGTTTATCAGGTGATGAACTTAACCTCACAATACAGGAGTTTCAGTGATGGGATAAATATGTAGCAATACCAACACGCCTCTTACTGGACCACCACAGTTGTGTTGTGTGTAGCATGAAGAATGTAACCTGTGTGGCCTGAGCAGCACCATGGCTACACCAGTATGGGGTCACAATATGTGTCACAGGAGTCAGACGTCTTAACTCATCAAATGTGAAATTAAATTTGCAGTTAGATCTCAAGTTTACCAAGGCTGAGAGCTCTTGTTAAATATTATTAGGATTATATCATTTGATATTCAGTTATTATTTTACCATTTTAACAGAGGCTGCAGCTGGTGTGGTATAATAAGCTGGTGTGGCAGGGATGGTGGCACACACGCCCGTACTGGCTGCCTGTATGACAACAACTGCTAGACGTGGCAGACACTTTAATGAAGCTAAACCTGCCGCTCTCTCCCGCTCTATATTACATTATATTTATCTATACATGCAATCATTAACTAAAAATAAAACATTAGAATGAAAATATATACAAATTATTTTCGTAGAGTTCCAGAATGAAAAATTCTTAGTAGTTCACATGATACAAGAATATAAGCATCATAGGCATTATTTATATCCTAAATGATTCATTAATTATATATATATACATATATATATATATATATATATATATATATATATATATATATATATATATATATATATATATATATATATATATATATATATATATATATATATATATATATATATATATATATATATAATCAAAAAGTAAAAAGCACATTACATTTAGCCCGTCCCTATGGAAGGGAGGGATGGTGTGAATGAACCCACTTTTTAAACCGGATCCTTGGGTTCGGGAAAGCACCCAGCCAGCAGCTACCCACGAAACAATGCTCCCTTTATATTATTTTTGTTGTCTTTCTCTTTTAATCTTTGTAAATATCTCTCTCCCTCTCTCCACTTGTTATTTTTTTTTTAATTTGTATACAGTTGTATGTGATAAAGCTAAGATAACGCTGTTGCTGTACTTAACAGAGAGAGACCTGCAATACAGAAAAAAAGACAACTGTTTTCTAAACTGTTGCACTGTGGGGTACGATATGTTTGGGTTCACACTCAGGATGGTTGGAGAAAGGAAACTCACAATGTGCTCTCTGTATACATGTTGTATTGGGTGTACAATGCAGCTTGGTGCTAGGAAGTGGCAGCGTGGTTACAAGCGTGATGTAGAGAGAGCTGGTTGGTGAGGGTGCTCAGAGGAGGACCAGCTTGTGGGTCGCCATGCTCGCCGGCAGGAGCGAGGGCCGTCAGGCAGCGGCGGAGGAGGAGGTGATAGCTTGCTACGGCTGTAGCTAGAAGAAGAGAGAGGGCGATACGATACGAAGTCTTTAGTTAAGAGGTGAAAGAAGATTATTAGGAGTTGAAGGAAAAGTGGTGAAACTGAAATACAGTAGGAGTAGAAAGAATCTGGGCTCAACCAGATCGCTTCATCTTTCTTATTGGTGTTTTGTCTTTGTTCTACTCCCTTGGGTCGTCAGACCTTTGTATTAATATTGGTTTATTTATATAATGCTGCTTACTATTATTATTTGTTATTGTTGGAGTTAGTGAGCCCGCCCAGGTCCTTGTGTAACTGGGAGGGTAGTCACATTTTTTTTTTTTTGAGGTGTTAGTTAAGTGTTAGTTGTGTTAGTCTAAAGGTACACTGTATGGAGAGGCCTGCCAGGTTCTTAGTGGAGCTGGTTGGTCACTCTCATCTTTATTCCTCTAGTAATGTTTTATGTAGAAATGTGTATGTCAGGTCTTAAATAGCGGGGGTAGGCGTGGCTTAGTAGTTGACCTCCGTGATGTATGGCGGCGCTGGTTGACCCAGACCACGAGGCATACACTGGGGAATTCGCGGGGTCGGCTACTCAGCGACAAACAGCGTTTGCAGGGGAGAAATCCACTACAGCACGGACGTAGGGGTCCGATCGCCGACCTAGTCTTGACCTTCCACCTCAAGCTCAGGATCAGAGAGTTTCACACCTTTCGCGTTCTGCCCCGTGATTGGCTCTCGCGCTATGCGCGTCTCGATTCCTGATGCTGCAGAATCATACAAATATGGGACCGGCTGGGGTGGATCCGGAGACTCTCTAACCCTCTCTCACCATGAACGGTTACGAGTTTGATACGTGGCGTGATACGTCTGGATACGCCGACCTGCCCGAAGAAATTAAACCTCCTAGTTCTCAAGAAGTTCTTTGAAACTAATGAGATCATGGGGGTCACCAAGGTGGAACGACTGAAGCTCCATGGTGACATCAAGATCACCTTCGCCGAGAAGGGTATGCCCGTACAGCTCGCGGAGATCCCAGACATCAACGGCATTCCATTTAAAATGATTGCCTACAAGTGGGACAACCTGAAGCTGGGAGTAATCTCCCACGCCGAAATTGCCCACGTGGACCAAGCAGAGCTGAGTGAGCTCCTCAAGGGGCAACTCCAAGTTGTGAAGAAGCTGTCCGACACCACTGCCCTCATCGGACACCATACAACCTTACCCAAGGAGGCTCAACTGGCGTGGGTAACTGTGCCAGTCAAGCCCTACTGCAGACCGAAACGCTGTTACAAATGCCAGCACTACGGACACACTGTCAACAAGGGTGAGGCGCAGGAGGACACCTGCTCCCTGTGCGGCAGCCCCGGACACCGCTACACGGTCTGCCCCAACACAGTAAAAAAAATGCGCTGCCTGTGGTGGCCCACATTCCTCCGCCGATCGGACCTGCCCGAAAAGGAAGGAGGAATGTAGGATAGCCAAGGCTCGACTCGACAAGAAACTGAGCTACAAAGAGGCCCTCCTTGCTGTACGCTCCCAAGACAAGAAAAAATCAGCAGAAAAGAAAAACCAAGAAAAGAAAATGCAAGAAAAGAAAACTCAAGAAAAGACACCCACCACACAGAATCAAGAACACCACGAGGCCCGTGGAGCTGAAGCCCACGTGGTCAACCTCACCGTCTCCGACTTCTTCCACACCTATGAGGACATAAGACACGAGGAAGACGAACAACAAGACCCAAACACGAAAGAATGTACACTTCAAGAGAGCAAGAAGAGGAGGAGAGTTAGAAGAAAATCTACATCAAGCTAAGAAGAAGACCAAGACATTTCCTCCACACAAGAAAACAACACACACAATCAAGCAGACCAAGCACTGAGAATCCATGGCCCAACCCAACACACACCTTACGCTTGACCTGACGCTAGCCTGACTCTGTCCTGCCGCCTCCTGGCCCCGTCCGGGCGAGTTGCTGCTGCCTCCAACTTATACTCCTTCACGCAAGCGGTGTTTAGCCACTGCACCTATTCTCTCCTCCTAAAATTCACTTCAATCCTACCTTTATCCTTCCCCTGAACCTCCTTCCCCCTGTCACTAGCATTTTATCTATGTATGGTGGATCCAGAGAGTGCAGACTCTCTAACCCTCTCTCACCATGAACAGTGCAGACCTAGGTGAGGTCACCTGGGAACAGTCACGTCAGTCACCAGTAGGAAGGGGTGAGGTCATAGATGACACAACAATTGATCATGACACAACAATTGATCATGACTATAATATATTCACTAGTATACTACATAAAGCACAAGAACAAAATATACCATACAGAAAAATTAGGTCAAATAAGAATGAGCCAAGGTGGATGACCAGAGAACTTAAACATGACATAGGAATGAAGAAAGGAATATATAAAGTAAAGGGAGGGAGGAGCAGCTCAGAAATAGGTATAATGAACTATCTAGGAATGTTAAGAAAAATGTAAGGAAAGCAAGAGAGACTATGAAATCAAAATAGCAAGAGAATCCAAGGCGAATCCCAAGGGATCTCAGGTATATAGAACAAAGGTCAAGGACAAAGTTGGGCCTTTAACGTCAGGGAAGGGAGAAGTGATAAATGGCAGTAAAGAAATAAGCAAAGCATTGGTACTTCTTATCAGTTTTCACAGAGGAAATTCGCAATGAAATTCCAGAGGTGGAACTGATATTTAAGGGAAAGGAAGAAGAGAAATTAAAGAATATCACTATCAGAAAAGAAGTTCTTAATGTAATGGTCATGATAAGAGCTAACCTGAAAACCTTAAGGATTCATATTACGCTCAAACGTCCACAAAACCTTCCGAGTCCCCCAGTGGAAACGTCCCCCGTTTTCTCTGTTTCCCGCCTTTGTCTATAGAGCAGACGCTGGCTGGGACCTGTTGCCATCCATTCCTTTGTAATCAATTTAATTTTGCTTTCGACTGAGTCAGAGCATTGTTAGTGAAGATAATAGTAGAGAATGAAAATGAGTTCATAGTCTCAATTTCAACGTCAGAGGGTACCGTAAATAAATTCATCGGAATAGGGTAGCTGGACTCCTGGTCTGGTTTTAGTGAGGGCACCGGCATTTAACCGTTAGTAAGTGCCGTCCCTTCATCCATACAGGTATGCCATTCCACGCTGTGTTGTAATTTGCCCTTCTTTGATTTGACCCAATTGATAGTTGATTGTGCAAGTGTTACAGTAACGTAGTTGATATGCTCTGAGTAAAGTCATATTTACGTCTTTAACGTCCCTGAAATGTGTTGTTGTTGTCACGGTTAGTAAGTGCCCGTCCTTCATCCATACAGGTCCCAACGCAGCCTAGGCCGTGTCTGTAGGTGGATGTTGTATCCACTATGTCTGGGGACATGTCCGAGGTCCAGTAGGATCAGTTACCTTCTGAGACCCGGCCGTCAGACACTTCAGACCACCTATAGCCCCCATAGCTGGCCCGTCTGGCCCTAACGCCGGTCCACGAGGAGACCCTGGACCACCAAGCCACACACCACTACCAGCCCCATCATTGGTGGATGAGTGGTAGATGTGTGGTGGAATTAACCCACTGGGATCTCGGATAGTACTCCATGGTGGCTGGACCCCATGGCTGTTTTGAGTATCACCCTGACGACTGAGTGTTGTAGTGGCAGTTGCCTAGTATGTATGGTGCTAAGTGACTATCTAGTTGTGCTATTGAGTATGTCCACCCAGTAGGGTTGAAAGTGTGAATATGTCCACCCAGTAATGGTGTGAGTATGTTGTGCCTGAGGGCCTAGTACGAGATTTCGTCTGTTAGTACAAACCAATTCTTTCTTCTAATTTCATATTCATGTTTAAATAAACTTTGTATTTGTATAATTGTGTATATTATTTACCTACAGTATTTACCGTTATTTCTTCCCTATTGCTTGATACTATCATTACACCTACCACGAGCCTCCTATCGTCACGCTACCAATGGTGATAATATAAGAGTAAAAGGAGTTGTTACTGGAACACAGGCCCTCATGAAGGGTGGCAGAAGCAGCCCTCATAAATGGTGGCAACAGGACCTCATATTAGAAGATAAATAAACTAAAGAAAACAAAATC